TCTTGCGTTTCATTTCACACTTTAATCCAGATGCCCTTAACCTTCGACGAGTGTTAACTTTATCAACATCGGCTTTATTAGCTCGTTCTGAGGTTTGTCTTGTTTCATCTTTTCAAGAGCTGTATTATTATTATTATTATTGTTGTTGTTGTTGTTGTTGTATACGCCGATCGGATATTTTATACACACTTCATGATAGCGTCTCCGGTGGTGAAAAATATTCGGAATCAACACTGCAGGGTGATGGCAGTTTTACTTATAAAGTTGTTATCAAACCGTTTTCTGACAATTACTTAAAGCGTGAAAATCCATGTCACTTTGCAGTGTTGATTTCCATGCTCAAATTTCTTAAGACTACAAACGCTCTATCCCTGTTTATTGGGCACTCTTACCCTATAAATAAAGCAATTTTAAAACATTATAAATGTGGTTTTGTTTATAGCAACATCGAATTATGACAGAACGAAAGAGTGGCAAAAGATAGAAGAAACCGCCCCTTGCTCTCCTTTTTTGCATGAAGAAACATCTCCTTGCTCTTCTTTTTGTATGAAGAAAATGCTCCTTGCTCTCCTTTTTTACTGGTATGAAGAAAGGAGAACAGAATAAATGGAAAAAAAACAAAGGAAGAAAGAAATGAAAACACTGAGAATTGAAAGAAAGAAAGAAAGAAAGAAAGAAAGAAAGAAAGAAAGAAAGAAAGAAAGATTAATGTCGGGTGCAATGCTGAAAAATTTTAGGCCCGACCTACTTTTCCAAATCTTACTAAATGACTACACATCAGAAATGTTTTTCGAATCCCATCTTGGTCGGGCCGAGAACTTTTCAGGCCCACACCTCCCAGTAAATTTACGCCTTACTAAATGAAGAATATGTAAGAGAGTGGAAGGGAGTGGGCATAAGTGAAAGAAAGTTGTAATTTGCCGATGACATAAAAATTGGCTAGGGGTCAAAACAACAGATCAATAGACTCTTTATTAAATCGATATCAGTTCAATACGATACGGTTAATGGCACTAGACTGCAGTTCTGTAAAAACTTCAACAATTTCCATCCACACTACCAAAATATACACATATAGCTAAATAAACACATTCGCAGATTTTATGGTGAAAAACGCATTTATTTTACACAACAAATGTTTATACTATTTACATTGTTCGGACTGCTGTCCTCGTCTTTGTTATATTCAGGAACCAGGCCCACCAGGAGACCACAAACCCACCCTCACGAAAAGAACGGTGAAACAGTATGCACACGTCATGGTAATGATGACGTTGATGGTTTCCTTTCCTGTCAATGCACGTAATTCACTCGTAAATATTAATCACGCTGTGTCGAACATAATACAGTGAAAATTTCAGATCAAATTTTAGGTAATAAATACGGTTTAAGAAGACATTGATCTATCCGCGGATGTAGATTAGTTTACAGAATGATAAATGAATATTTGAAATAAGGCACAAGCGATAAACGCAGGCCTTCTCCATAGTTCGTTTCTCGGTCCAACCCTATTCCTATTTTACATAAATGATCTGACTGCGAGTATACTTACATCATTTGTAAACATCTCTGCTGATGATAAAGGGGTATATGAGTGGACCTCCAAAACTTTAGATGAGCAGAGATTGGCAACTGATCTCTTCACTGACCTAGCTCTAACAGCTCAGTGGAGGAAAACTCGTTACATTGAATGCCTTGAAAACTAAACTAGTTGCATTCCATCATTGACAATCGGGCTACGAGCTGTCACCAATCACGCTGAATGGATGTTCAGGCTACGTGTCTTGAGCAACTAGTGGGCCCTAAAATTAACCCAAACCTCGTACATACGATCAATCGCTAAAAGTGCTCCTCGTGATAACCTCTACATTTACAAAAGCCAGATCAGGACTAAAATGGAGTACAGCTATCATATATGGTCTTAGCTGCCCAGTCCTCACTTTCTAGTCACAACAGAGTCTAATAGTGTCTCCGCATCCTTGTGGGTGATGACTTATCACTTCATGCCACGCGTGTCGCCATGTTCCTTACCTAATCTCAATCTAAACCTCATATATACGACCAAACACTAAAGATATTCCTCGTGCTATCCTCTACATTTACAAGAGCCAGATCAGGATTAAAATGGAGTACAGCTGCCATATATGATCAGGAGCTGCCAAGTCCTCATTTTCTAGTGACGACAGAGTCCAAAAGCTTTACGGGTTTCGATCAGACCGATCCATTATTCACAGAATCAATGAGGCACAAGATAACGAAGACATCAAGGACTATAGCATTGGATATGTCAAAGACCTTTGATAAGGTGTGGCATAAGGGATTGCTTCACAAGATCTCTAGCTATGGAATCAATAGAAGAATCTGGTCAATTATAAAGTCCCTGAAAGTACAGTATTTACATTAGTCGGACTATTGTCCTCATCTTTGTCGCCATATTTGTCACAACGTTTCGGCCGTTGTACGCTCCGGCCTTCTTCAGGTGGTTGGAATTTCGAACTGAACCCTTTCTTTCGATCACTGGGGTAGACTGTTCTAGTTCCACGTGCCATGTTTGATGGATGTCAGTTATCAGTCATCTCCTGCTAATTTTCCCTCTGAAAGTTCTCCACTGCCTTAACCAGGAATTGAACTCACCTTCTTTGGGTCTGTCACTGGATCTAACCAACGCCTTTATCCACTGTGCCATGTGCCAGGACAAAGGGTTCAGTTCGAAATTCCAACCACCTGAAGAAGGCCGGAGCGTACAACAGCCGAAACGTTGTGACAAATATGGCGACAAAGATGAGGACAATAGTCCGACTAATGTAAATACTGTACATAATACCTCATCTCAGAAATATAGACAGTCCCTGAAAGTAGTTGTTAACGACAAGTCCTTAGCAATCAATGCAGGGGTCGCTACTCGGACTAACGCTCTTTTTACTTTACATAAATGATCTGCCTAAGAGTATACTCCGATCATTTGTAAATATTTATGCTGATGATACAACGGTATATATGTACACCTCCCAAAGTCTAGATGACCAGAGCCTGGTAGCTGATCTCTTCTCCGACGAAAACTATCCCGTTACATTCAATCCATCGAAAGGCAAACAAAGTGACGTCTCATCATCACCGAGGGGACCCAGAACTTTCATCGATCGCGATGAGAGGTTGTTCCTTTCGGGAGGTCTCGTGAACTGAGGGCCTATCACTAAATATGCGGGGAAAATTGGGCGGTTCCTTGTACTGTTCCAATAAGTACCAGATTCCTGTAATCTTCTAACTTTACAAGAGCCAGATCAGGCAGAAAATGGAGTACTGTTGTCATATATGAGCAGTAACTGTCCAGTTTTCACTTTTCAGTACCGATAGAATCCAAAAGACTCGTCCTTGTGGGTGATGAATTAATTTACATCCTACAATATCTTTCTCACCGACGAAACATCGCAAGCCAATTAGTGTTCTATCGCTATTTCCATTGAGAGTGTTCAGACGAACTACGCTCCTTATTTTCACAAGCTCGAACCTTTACGACTAAGACCCACCATGCCACACACATTGTAGCGGACAACCTTCATTGCTTTCGCATTTTATTGGTTAGATGGAAGTTTCACACCGGCCGCTACTTTGTGAAATGGAATCTTAACCTGTTCAAATCTAGGGTTAACCGTTATCTTCCACTCCTATCCGTACAAACCGCCTTCTAACGTAGTCCTCTACCTCGTGTGTCTCCCGGGCCTCGTACATGCGCCTTACTCTTCAGTTTTTGAGATGTAAGTTCCGCTCAAACAGCTTCTTCCCGCGATCCCTACAATCTTTGCCTATTCAAGTCTAGGCTCAACCTTTATCTTCCCCATATGTCCCCATAAATGTTGCCACTTACTCTGTAACCCTCTACGTCGAGTGGTTCTTGAGCTTTGTATAGAATGAGCATCTCTGAAACAAAGTACATATGTACACACACACACACACACACACATATATATATATATATATATATATATATATATATATATATATATATATATATATATATATATCCGATTAAATAAATTAGAGATATTATGTTTGATTATTTTTAATAAAATCCTTTCATACTCACGGTTAACTTTACACCAACATTCCTGTCCACATTCACAATATAAAAAAAATACTAATCGACAACACAATTATCATATACCAAAAAACAACAAATTCAAACTACAGATCCTCGAAGCAATACACATTAAAAAATTAAAGCTGAATAGAACCAGCTACAAATACTGTAGTAATGTTCTGAAATATCTATAAAAAAGAAAGATTTTCACGTTTTAATGCGCGCGTGACCATGACATTACTACACAGAAGAACAAATTCCATAGTGGATGATTTTTCACTTTCTAATGAACGCTAGGCATGACTGTAAACCATTGCAGTTGAAAGCAAAAAGAAAAATTACAACAAAGGATATCACAAACAGTTTTGTATAACTATTTTCACCCGTGAACAACACAGTATTGTAATACTACGAACAGCCCTGAAGATGATCTCGGAACAAGATCGAAAGTACTTGGAAAATGAAAAATAAAAACGACTTTCATAGATATAGCACATTTCTCACGTCATTTAATTGCAATACACGGAAGGTTATCCGTGAGTTTGAACCGATTTTATTAAAAATAAGCAGACATAATGTCTGTAATTTTTTAATCAGACATGCCTAAAAAAAGAATTTTCTGCCTAAATACAAAAAAAATATATATATATATATATATATATATATATATATATATATAATTATTTATTTAAAAATTATAGCATAAATATGGTATAATATATATATATATATATATATATATATATATATATATATATATATATATAAATTTGTGCTCTTCTTTTCTACATTCCCTCTTTCATTTTCTGCTAACTGTTCTTCCTTCCTTTCTTTATCTTCTTCCTAATTCGTTCCTTCATGTCCTCTGCCATAGCCTTCATCCAGCTGCATCATATAATATTTACACACAATTCTTATTGCCATGTCACCTTTTAGGCTGACTTTCTCTTTATTATTCCTTAGTTTTCCTCTTTTTTCTCTATTCTCTCTCGCCCAACGTCAACTTCAAGCTTTGCCTTGCACTTCTTTCAACTTCTTTTTATATGCCTCTCTATTTATTTCTCTTAATTACGTCTTTCTTTATTCCCCCTCTCTTAATGTCTTCTTACTGCTAATTTTTTCTATTTCACCGTCTTCATTTTCTCTTTTTCCTCTCTCACTTTTACATTGTCTCATTGCAGCCTTTTCTCCCTTACTGCGCCTACTGTTAAATAACTTCTTTTTCTTCTTCTTCTTCTTCTTCTTCTTCTTCTTCTTCCTTTTTTCTTCCTTTTTTTTTCTTTTCCTTCTTCTTACTCTTCCTCCTCCTTCTATTTCTTCTCCTTTATCATCCTTTTACTTCCTCCTTCATCTTCTTCCTCCTCCTCTTCCTCCTTCCTTTTCTTCTTTTTTCTTCTTACTCTTCCTTCTTCTCTTTCTTCTTCTCTATCATCATTCTTTTTCTTTCTTTTTTCTTCTTCCTTCTTCTCTTTCTTCTTCTCCATCATCATTCTTTTTCCCCCTTTTTTTATCTTCCTTCTTCTTCTTCATCATCATCCTTATTCTTCCTCCTTTTTCTATTTCCCCGTCTTCATTTTCTCTTTTTCCTCTCTCACTTTTACATTGTCTCATTGCAGCCTTTTCTCCCTTACTTGCGCCTACTGCTAAATAACTTCTTCTTCTTCTTCTTCTTCCTTTTTTTCTTCCTTTTTTTCTTTTCCTTCTTCTTACTCTTCCTCCTTCTTCTATTTCTTCTCCTTTATCATCCTTTTACTTCCTCCTTCATCTTCTTCCTCCTCCTCTTCCTCCTTCCTTTTCTTCTTTTTTCTTCTTACTCTCCCTTCTTCCCTTTCTTCTTCTCCATCATCATTCTTTTTCTTCCTTTGTCTTCTTCCTTCTTCTCTTTCTTCTTCTCCATCATCATTCTTTTTCTTCCTTTGTCTTCTTCCTTCTTCTCTTTCTTCTTCTCCATCATCATTCTTTTTCCTCCTTTTTCTTCTTCCTTCTTCTTCTTCATCATCATCCTTCTTCTTCCTCCTTTTTCTTCTTCCTTCTTCTTTTTCTTCTTTTTCCTTCTTTTTTCTTCTTCTTACTCTTCCTCATTTTTCTTCTTCCTTCTTCTTCTTTTTCTTCTTTTTTCATCCTTCTTCTTCTTCCTCCTTTTTCTTCTTCTTCTTGCACTTTTTTTTCTGTTACTTCTTTTTTTCTATCTTTTTATCACTCTTCTTTGCACTCCTTTTCATTAAGTACCAATTTTATTTATCTGTTTTTTTTTTTATAAATATCTTCGTACATCCTTATACCATAATTTTCCCTGTACATTTTCAATTATATCCGATTTATAGCCATCCTGCCTTCCCAGACCAACCCCCTTGTTTATCTATCCTTTGTTTTCTTCGGTTTCCCAAATCCTTTCCCATCGACTCACCAACACAAACACCTATTTTCAAGTTCGCAGCAAATTGAAAAGATAAAAATAAAAAGATATTATTTGTTTCACCATTTTATAGGGAACGTTTTTATAGTTATAGTTTTATAATCTGCGCCCAGGGATCAGTTTCATTCTAAAAACTCCAAATCGGCTTGAGTGTTTCTTGTTTTGTCGCTTCCGTTCGAGAGTTATACGCCCCTAATGACAAAATCTACTGCTTATTTTTGGTCGCTTGTATTTGAATAGATCTCGTCATATTCCAATAGATCTTTTGTTTGGCATCAATAGCTGCATTCAATCAATGTCTGGTACCAAGCTCCACTGAATCAATAACTCCATCTCAACTTTAACATATTTACCCGAGCAGGAATATTTTGTCGCAATTTCAAATCTCACTGGTTAAAATTCTGGAATGAAGGTCAAGGGGTATATAGTTTAATGCCCTAATATTGGATCTTTATGAAGTATTCATTTTTGGAGATGAAAAATCCTGCATTTTAAAGCGAGTAATGAACGCTATCGTGTAATGAGTATAATTTGGAGTTACCTTACTATTTACACGACACAAGCATTCTCGCCAGATCTACTGATTTCCTATATTAGTAGAAGAGTATGTATGTCATTTTATTTTTGTCTTCTCCTTGACGTTCAAAAATTAGTCCTAAAATTCAGGTAGAACTAGCATAGTATTTAGAACTCGCTTATATTTAAACATCTGACCCTGAGCTACCGCCACTCAAAATGAATGGATTCCCCCTCGAGGAGGCACCGTGGAGAGAATATTGGGCCTCAAATTCACACCCGACCTCAAGTGCAACTATTATATACGACCCATCACTAAAGGTGCAGGTAAAATTATCGGTAAAGTCCTCGGCTAGGAACCGCCATGCTAATTACACCTCACAGGCGGGATGTGGCAAGTCACTCACTGCTTTATCGTTACTTCCATTGAACGTGCCCGGATGAATTACATTCCTTGGTTCCGCCAGGTCTAATTTCACAGCTATGAACCGCCATGCCACACACATTGTAGCAAAACACCCACATCCCAATCTTAACCTATTCAAGTCTTCGGTTTAAATTATCTTCACCACTTATCCGCATAACATGTGCTTCTTTCTCTGTAACACTCTACCTCAAGTGCCTCCCAGGCCTTGTACAGGGTGAACTTCATTATATATATATATATATATATATATATATATATATATATATTCTTAAGTATGACAGACAACGAATGTCTATTATGTCTTATCATGAGCCTTTCCATGCGTCGTATAATAGATTTAGTTTGAAGAAAATGTTAACGTATTATATACGTGATATGTATAAACGTCAAAGCAGCCACCAAAGAACTCAATTCTTTACGAAATTCTATGAGTTAAGCATCAACAGCAGCCGTTAAAAATTCTGTTTCTCCATAGTGCTCAATCGGCGAACAAGATCATAAGTAGTCATCCACAGACAGACAGTTTTTGACTTTATTTTCTCCTGAAACTAAAGCCATTATAGGTTCATGATAAAACATAATAGACATTCGTTGTCTGTTATATTCTTCTTTTTTTTTTCTACTAATACTAGTACTACTACTACTACTTCTCGGTCATTCTCGTCCACTTTGAACGCTTGCCACTCTTTTCCATCTTTTAATAATAGACATTCGTTATCTGTTATATTTAACAATATGTATGTGTATTTATATATATATATATATATATGTGTGTGTGTGTGTATATATATATATGTATATATATATATATATATAGGTATGTATATATATATATATGAATATATGTGTGTGTGTGTGTGTGTGTGTGTGTGTGTGTGTGTGTGTGTGTGTGTGTGTGTGTGTGTGAAAATATATAGAAAATAGGAAAGAACTCGTTAGGTAAACAATCCAAAGTTCTTCAGTAATTTTGTTATTATTTAAAAAAAAAAAACAGTGCTCGATATAAAAGTAGAGCTCAAATATAATTATTTATTTAAAAATATGACTCCTTCGCTGCATAAAAGTTCTCATGTTTCAAAACAAGAGCGGAAAACTTCAATATAATTATTTGAATTAAATTGAATAAAAGTACCAAGCTCTGTTCCATCTTCAAATGAAATTTTTGAGTTATTCCAAAGATTTCGCTTGAAGATGGAACAGAGCTTGGTACTTTAATTCAGTTTAATTCAATTAATTATATTGAAGTTTTCAACCCCTTGTTTTGAAACATGATAAGTCTTATGTAGCGAAGGAATCATATTTTTAAATAAATAATATATATATATATATATATATATATATATATATATGGAGGCACGGGAGAGTAGTGGATAGCGGCTCGGATTGAGGAATCGGAGTTCGAATTCCAATCAAGTCCATTACATATAGCATATTAATCCTCTTCTTCTCCCTCCAGCTATGGGTAAATAACAGGAGAGACTGGGTTCTATAGCCTTGGATGGCAACTAGTCTCGGAGAAGGACAACTCTGAATTCAAAACCTGCGGAGGGCTGTTTGGGGACCTTGTGGCATATAAGCACCAGATCTCTGTATTCGGTCCTTGAAAAAATGTGGTTGCTTCTGCACAAAGCCTTCACCAATCAATTCCTAGAAATTTCATAGAAAGTATGTGTCCTTCGACAGAAATCGAACCTGTATCCTATATGGAACTGTAAATCGGCCTGACATGCCACAGAGGAAGCGTCAAATATGTTTGAATTGTATTTTGTTGCGTAGAAAGACAACCGGTCATCTCTACACTAATTGTTAAACATTGATTCGTGCATCCGCTATGAGTAGAACTCTGCTCATATGAACGGTTATTGGAAAGCGAGTCGCAAGGTGCAGCGTTTGAGTCGTATGCATTGCCGCACTGAACTACGGTATTCTCCATTACTGTATTAATAATGAATGTCTCTCATGTGATTAAACCTGCTCTTCATTAATCCTTGTCTTACAGTGTTTCTTTACAGTATTATTAACCAGAACTACGAGCGTCATACGAACTTCAGAGCACAAATGAAATACGGGGGAAATTCGAGTAACCCGACTCTGTGGATGCAGCATGGCGAGCCCAAGTTGTAAAAATCTGTTTCCCATGAAAATAGAGATAGAATAGTGATAGATTTTAGGTGTTGCGCTTGTTGGGGAAAGAGGTTGTAGGGTGGGAAATAAGTCAGTACACACAATGTTGTATAAATGTTATACCTGACGTACCTATTCTATTATTAATAGACTCTCCCACACATAATAAGTAGTAGTAGTAGTAGTAGCGGTTGCCAGTTGGGCTCAGTGGTGTTGAGCGAGTCAGTCGATGTCGGACATTGAAGTATCATCCATCACAAGTAGGTATGCTGCGTCATTAACTCTTATTTCAAGTCCCTAACGTTTTGTACGTCGAACCTAATTTAGGACGACTTATTGAAATACAAGCCTCCACTGTGAAAACTACTCTACAACCATAAACAATTTTGAAAATTGAGGACTGTTAATTTAAAAATTAGAAAATTGTGGATAATTACAGCCCAGTCTAACTCAGCCTAGCCCAACTCAGCCCAGACCAATCCAGCCTAGTCCAGTTGGTAAAGTAACCAAGAAAAAAAAAGAAAAATGAAAAATGTATATTCTTTGAACTCTATCTAAACTAGAAATATTAGTCTCAGATAGTGATAGAGCGACCGCACTGGGGATCAAGTTCCCCTGGATAAGAAATAACCACGGCTAATCTGTATGACGTGTAAAACTTAACTTCTCGGAAACAGTTTCTAAATCTAACATTCCCACGTTCCGCCAAGCAAATCAAGATCGAGATCCTTATTTTGTCTACCAGCTGTCCCCAAAGTCAATCTCAGAAGGTCTGAGCCAAATAAACTGCCACTGAAAAATAATAGTCTGAAACTAATATTTAAAATTCCTACTTAACCATAATAAGAAATTTATCTATGAAATTCATTTCAACTACATTACATGTAACACACCTTACCCAATTTTCAAAAAAAGATTCATTCATGAATTTTATTTCAGATGTTTACTCTAAAATACTCTCTATAATTTCGTGTACGTTGGGCATGGTCCTTACATTTTTTTCTTTTTTTATTAGGCCTCGATCACATGACCACTCCGGCATGCGCACAAACAATTCTTGAAAAAGAATGAACATAAACCTCAAAATTCTGACCAGTTTTTCCCGCTTTACAAACATTTTTGTTTAACAAAAATCAGAATAGCGGACTATCCTTTACCCATTCTTGGT